AGAGCCCAGCGGGCGAGTGCAGGAGGCGGGGTTTCCGTTGCTTTGCGCCCTTTTTCGGGCGAGCGCAGTTTCGCACTTACCGGCAACTGCTCCCGACTCCCGTGCAAGGCGCCGCCAGCATTTTTCCTCCCACCGGAGTCCATTTATCTACTCACATGAATTTTCGAACTGTTGGGTTGACAGGAGCTGGGGAGGAAGCAGGAGCTCACCCTGTTTAGCGCGAAGGCTGGACTTGAACCGCCGAAGCGTCAGCCATTTTGGCCGGCAACTTTCAGCGTCATTAATCTGTCCACTTTGTTTATTCATATTTAGGCCATGATTGTCATGGAGAAAATCTATCTATGTGGTTGCAAAGAGTCAATAACAACTTGATGGCACTTCATTGATCACTTTGTATATTCAAATTCAAATGATATTCCTTTATTTCCATTCTGTGCTTAGGTTTTAGATGCAATATCAATAGTCATCATTACCCTGCCTTTTCTCCAAGAGCAAAAAGTGGCTTATAGGGGGTCTCCCTTCATTTTATCCCAATGACCACCCTATGGTTGAGAAAGAGGGCCTGGTCAATAGTTACCCAGTGGATTTCCATGGGTTGGGTTGACTTTTGGTCTCCTCAATCCGAGTGCAAAATCTTAACCGCTATACCACACTGGTTTTATTTAGTTAGAGAAACTTATGTAGATTTGGATGGTGTTAAGCAAATGGTAGGAAAATCTATGGGTAGACAGCTCGGTAGAAATCTGGCCCATTTTTATAACCTGGGGTAGTAAGATCGTATTTCAGTCCAATATTTTAAATAGAATATATTCTAAAGTATATATATATTGTTCCAGTGTTATTTCCCTTCATATAACTGACTAATGTAAATCTCCCTGATACACCATTTTAGATGAATATTTATTTTTAATATAAAATTTTCCAGTGTTGACATAAGTAGATCAGTATTTTTTTTTTTTAATGCATCTCCTAGAATAGAACTCAGTTCTTTTTACCACATTCTGGCTGGGTTCACACATGACACTAAGCTAAGTTTGTTTGACTTTGCTTAGATTATCTGCCCACTCCTTCCTTCCTTCCTTCCTTCCTTCCTTCCTTCCTTCCTTCCTTCCTTCCTCTCTTTCCCTTTGAGTCAGCTTTTGACTCCTGGTGACTGTCTGGACCAGTCCCTGCAGTTTTCTTGGCAAGATTTTCAGAAGCGGTTTGTCATTGTCTTCTACCTAGGGCTGAGAGAGAGGGACTGGCCCAAGGTCACCCAGATGGCTTCATGCCAAAGGCAGGACTAGAACTCACAGCCTCCCAGTTTCAAGCCTGGTGCCTTAACCACTACACCACATAGAGGCATTCAATCACTGTTCTGCCAAAAGAACAATAATGAGAAGAACCTTTGTATCACTTCAGTGAGGGCGATACTTTAGGGCAGTAGTGGGGAAATAGCCTTAGTATGATGGGGAATCCCAGTGTTTTACAGAAACTAGAGATAGGAAAATTCTGCTTCCCAAAGAGGTTTGTGCTTTACTGTCTCATTTGAAGGTTGCTTTAGGATTAATTTCGAATTCCTTTTCATGCTGTTTTGGCTCATACTTTATTATTGCAAGATGACAAAGGGCGTTTGCTATGTTGATTTCTAACAAATATTTCTCCCTATGCCTCCGGGGGCCTCCCTGGCTGCCTGAAATTTTTGAACTGAAAAGCCTCCTGGGAGGAGTTTGCTCATGATGTTTTCCCCTGGGGGGTATAATTGGTAAGTCAGGCAGGCTGCAGTCCATGAGAAAGATGAGAAGCCAGGGAGGCTGCAAACTGCCATAGAGAGGCGAAGCCAGGGAGGCCTTTAACGACTATGGAGACCATGAAGTCACATCAACCTTATATCACTCCAGAACCGTCCAGCTGAGTATAAGATTTCCCCATTTCTTTGCAGAGAATTTCACCTTCCAATTTCCCCCTTGCTTTTATATTTCCCCCCTCAATTTCTTTTCTATCAAACTGGAAATTGTTTTCTTAAAAATACAAAACAGATCTTGGCACTGCTTTATTTTTTTGGGTATAGCCAGCCCTGTTTTTTACCTATCAGTTCGAAGCATCCATAAAAAGACTTTGAAATTCTAAATTATGTGATCCTTCAGTAGCATCAGATTGTAAGCTCTGACATATGTCTTTCAGTGACACAAAGACCATTATGAAGGAAGATTACTTGACTTTGTAGCTATGGATCTTGAATGGGGAGGATGCAACCATTTTCAGAGGGGTGTTAAATTAAACCAATAAATCTTAGGGAATGGGAGAAAAAATCATTCACCCATAAACATTCCTCAAAAGGGAAGATGGAAGCTAAGAATTAAAAAAAAGTTCAGATCTACTCATCTAAGCCTCCAAGGGGTTTTTAGACATCTTAATAGCTTGATGAAAGAAGGTCACTGGCAGAGATTTGCTTCCACTGGGAACTGGAGCTATCAGTGGTATTGGACCCATGTTAGAAATATTGGACAGGGGAACTAACTAATGGTTGAACATTAAGGGTTGGGCAGAAGACCTAGTTCCCTCTTCACCACCACCTTGTTCTTAAAGGATTATATGATTAGGCAGATAGGTTCCTTCGGGACTAGCAGACATACATTTGGAGCTAAATGAGTTGCTAATCATTTTGTTCCAGGGGCCTAGGCCTTCATACCCTATTTAACCATAAAAGGACTTTTGTCCACAAAAGTTAAGAAGCTATGATGCCTTTCTTAGACTTCAAGATGCTTTGGTTTTACTGCAACCCATCATCGAGACTCCCTTTGTGGAAGTCCTTATTGTTTGATTTGTATACTGTTTTCCCAGATACTTCATGCCATTCTTAGCTATGCTGGCTGGGAACTATGGGAGATGATACAACATATCTGGAGAGCAGAAGGACACAGAAGCCTGCTTTTGTGAGGCAGTTCTGTTACACAAAGCACGACAAAGATAGCAAGCAGAAAATACAGAAAGCAAGATGGAATCATTCCAGAATGGGTAACCTATGGAACCAGACTTCCAGGTTATCCTCAAACATCTTTTTCATGCAGCCTTGCCATCCTCCAGCTGTGTCACCAAATTTCAGCAAAGGAATGCTACCGTTTGGGAATCTGCACCCTCAGCATTTTGAGCCAGGAAACATCCCATAACTGCTGGATTTGATCTAAAATAGATTTAATGTAGTTAGAGACAATCTCCTCCTCCTCCTCCTTAAATCTTGGAGGATCGGGGTTTGTGTTGCTGTGTAATACAGCCCCACCATGGAAGTTTTTGGCTCTTCCCCTTGTAAAGTTTAAAAGTTAAAAATTCTTCAAAAATGGGGTGGGTTGGGGGTTAGTTAAGACTTCGATTTTTATGTCTAAATCGTGTTTCTTGGGTCAGTAGAAAATGGCACAGAACTCAGATAGTTGTTGGGATTCTGGGTGCCTTTGATACTATAATTCAACTTAAAGTGATCTTGAGGAACAAAGCAGAAGGTAGATAACAAGGCTCAGAGCTGCATGGGGAGAAGCATGGAAAAGGGTCACCTTGTCCTAAAATAAAAAGGAATGTAAATCAGGGTTGACAGACTACAGCACTAGCCTCAAGGTTAGGTCTGGCTGTCTACCATATTACCAATATGTGTTTTTATTGTTTTGTTTTATTGTGCACCGCCCAGAGTCACACTCATGAGATGGGCAGCTATATAAATTAGCAATAAATAAATAAATAAATAAATAAATAAATAAATAAATAAGGAGTTGAGGGCTTTGTCTGTCTATGTAATTATTCATTACTGTTGATGTACCTTTCCTATCTCCTATATAATCCTTTGCAAATTGGGTCTCTCGGTCATTTTGCGTGGGAGACCCATGATCACCGTTCTATGGTATTTTAATAAAGAAACTTTATTTCAGATCTCCATTGTCTTAGCAAATCTTTTACTGGATTGCTATTTTTTCCCATGACACCTTACATCAGTGTTTTTCAGTCTTGCGAACTTGAAGATTTCTGGGAGTTGAAGTCCACTCACAACTGAATGGGTGAGACATCTCCAGCCCTCAGGAATGAAGTAGTCTTCCGAGGAATAAGCTAGTTCAGTCAGATAAATCAAGTTAGCTAACTTCTGAGAAGAAATAGCTGGATTCCAAGAGAACTTTTGGGCA